TCTAACTTCAGTAGCAAAAAGGTTTATAAGTTACTCATTGGACACACTGAAGCATCTCCCCTCTTCTCCTGGCTCTGGACCTCGAGTAATCTGGGTAAGCATAAGTTTTTCTTCTGGTTATTGCTGAGGGATAGACTCAATACTAGAAACCTTTTGAGAAGGAAAAATATGAAATCAGAAGACTACATCTGTGTTCTTTGCAGTAGTGGATGAGAAGAAACAAGCTTCCACCTCTTCTTTGACTGCCCCTTTAGCCAGGACTGCTGGAACTCCATTCCCAATTCCTGGAACCTGAATTTCCCACCACTTGATATGGTAATAGAGGCCAGGACCAACTTTGGCAGCCCAATCTTCAGAGAAATCCTCATCACAGCCTGCTGGATCATCTGGACAACTAGAAACAAGGTGATTTTTTACCAGGGTCAAATCAACATCAACATTTGGAGAAGAGAGTTCAAGGAGGAACTTGGTTTAGTTTGCACTAAAGCCAAGCCCAGCAGACAAACCCCACTCAATATTTGGAGAGATAGTTACAATGTATAGGCTGCTTTTTTCTATTTGGGCCTAGTTGCCTTGTAATTTCTACATGTAAATATCATTCTTTCATTTAATGGAAAAACAAAAAATAGGTAGGGGATTCCCTACCGTTTCGGTCAAAAAAAAAGAGGATATAAAGAGTCTCCTGGAGTTGCTCTAAATCTAGACATGGTAGAAGAAGTTTCGGGATAACAACATAATATGCCCGTCATGGTACACCCACTGGGACATGTTAGTGACGTAAAAGTTTTATAAAGAAGCACATGTCCTAAAATGTTTATGCCGCTTTTAGTTTCTATCGCACTTCTTCTGTCCGACACCCGCCCCACCCACCTCTTTGTTCTCCTTTCTTCATCCATCAGTGTAAATTGGATCCACACACTTCTCCTTCCATCTACCCTTTGCTTCACTGCTCCTCCACCACAATGTCAGAACCCTTGGGCACTAAAAAATGACTTTTGACGATAAAAAAAACTTTTGAGTGTAGCCTCTTTTATTTACAGAGACGATATGAAAATATTTAAACCTTCGAACATACGTAGTGAACTTTAGAGGTGGTAGGTTATTTACGAAGTCTAATAAACTAAGGGAGTAGGTTCTGAAATTAGCATTAGCGCTTGGCGAATGTATCCGCAATCCTATAAAAACTCGCCTGCTGTAAAAACGCCACCGCCTCCAAGATGGTGAAGCTTCTAGAATGCTCACGCATACACGCCAACATGCCTAGTTGGGGCCACCGGTCAGCTAGCGAGGTAAATATATGAGACGACGTGCATCTTCAGGTTTGCAGGTCATCGCCTAGGATAAGATCAATTCGAAATTCTAAAAATGCCGTCAATTCAGGATTTGAAATACGGCATCGCCCGTGCGTCTCGGCCGCTCGCTAACGATGGCCTACGATAGGTTCCGTCTATTGCAGGTTATACATCATGTTCAGTGGTGAATCGCGGGAAAGAATTCCCTAGCCGTTATTTTTTAGAAGGTTCTTAGAAAAATGTTTGCTGATCAGTGTCACAATGGCTGGGTTGGAATCATCGGGAGAAAACAATGGACTTCAAAACTCTGTCCTTACTTGCCACGGAAGATATACTACACCCACATATAGGCATATACATGCACAGGAAGGTATCATAACAAGTTACATGCAAGATGGCGAAGTCACACGCGTCAAGCTAAGTCAGACGCTGATGCATCTAGCTTTGAGGCATTATGAAAATTGCAGGGTTTGGGCGATGATTCTTCACCCCGGCTGACCATGGGAGGTTCAGGTCAGGAGACAGGAGAGGACAGGGTGGTGTTGTTCATCTGATGGATTTTCTTCAACCACGGGCAGCACATTTTAAGCGCAGATGAGGTTTCTATCTTCTTCGGGTTCACTGTCTTCCATGTCGTCGTCATCCAACCAGACAACATCGTGGGTAGTCAATTGATGAAAATATCTACTATCTCGCGCAGGAAGTGGTTTTCACAGGCATTGTTGAGTTTTCCTATGCCAGCTTCGATTTCTTGGCCGACAATATGTCAATGTCTCCTGTTGCATGCAAATCTGTTTCACCAATGGGTTGTCCAGTGAGATTATTTCAGTATAACATGGAGAAAATACATTATACTCACCAGTTCACAAATACAACACCATGTTCTATATACCATAGTTTAAAGGATGCAGTGATACTCTTTACATGTTCTTAAGAACAAGCAGATCGTAATTTTTCAAAAAAAAAGAACAAGCTGTTCAGATACTATATATTTTTCACTATAACACGGAGAAAATAGGTTAATACTCATAAACACCATGTTCTATTTTTCACTATAACAAGGTGTTGTTAAGAACAAGCTGACAGTACCAACAATTTATAACTAATATGAAACAGATATGGGACTCAAACTTCTATCTAAATTTATGTAATGCCGAATTTTTCAAAAGAAGCAGAGTACTGCAAAATTGACCCTTTCAGGTAAGTGTTCAGAAATGACATGAGCATTAACAACAACTTATATAATTTATTTAATCTTAAGATTCACATGTAGTAATATTGATTTATTGGTTTGATGACGAATTATCACCTATTCAATGTTCTTGATGAATTGAAAATCAAGATGTATGTAATTCATAAAGATATTAAAGATGATAACAAAAAAGTTTCCACTTAATAAACTGGGCCGGCACTTGCCTTTGTTTTTTCTTCTTCTAAAAAAAATCTGCGGCAAAGCTTTTGCTATCCTTTCATAAAAATGATAACAAACAAGTTTGATCAGAAAGAAAATTACCCATGTCATCATCTTCTTCAGTTTTCCCCTTTCTGCTTTGTTTCTAGCAAGAGCTTATTCTATACTTCTAGTTGAGTGCATGTCTGCTGCGGAAAAATCTATATCGATTTAACAGATTTTTGTTCACGGAGCAGAAGTTTTGCTTTAACAGCCATTGCATTAGCAACCTGAAACAATTTATAGGAGGAAAGACAAAGGGATCATTTCTGGTAGATAGTAAAAAGAATAATCCATTACTTATCCGAAGCATTCATCTAACATCATAACGATCACGGAAAAGACAAAAATTATGTTTTCTGACAAAAAACAGTTTTGCTAATTCATTGTAAGCAGAGAAAAGAGCTTACTCTGCTAATCAGATGGCCACAATGCTTATGTTTCCATAATGCTACAAATCGTAAGAAAACATTAGGAAACTCCAGCAGGTATCATTGTAAAATCTCAAAACTCAACTACACTACAGTCAACAACTCAGTAGATGGGCAAAGGAACTAGAAATAAATAGATTGGCAAAATAACGAAATTGGAAATAAGCAGATGGGCAAACAAAGTAGATGGGCAAAATACAAATATCTGTACTGAAGACTAATGCTGTACCCAACTTCATAAGATTAGAAAACAGAAACATTGATGTTAATCAGACTGTAAGGACCATTAAATGTTGCAGGTTCCCCAACAAGGGACTCTGGTTTTCTACATAGAGGATGTATAATATCGTATTTGTGATCAAGATATATGCATGTGACACCTTACGTCGTCAGAAGTGTTCAGTTCAGTCTCCTAGGCTGCAGATCTTAATGGTGAGAGATCAGGAGTGCTGGGTGTATGTGTATCTACCGCTGAATTGGGCATATAAGAACTTGAACCAGCATGTTTCCTTCTAATTTGAATTTTCTTTGTTTCCTCAAGGATACTGGATGTTTTATTATCCACAATTGTGAGCACATCCTGTTAAACAAAGGAAGCAAGAAATCATTAATTTACAAAATGGCTCCATAGGATTATGTCATTTATAGAAAATAAAGAAACAAAAATATATGTACAGAGTTAAGTAGAACACATTACTTTCAAAGCATTTCTTTTGTTCTTCCACTAAGCTGGTTGATTGAAGCAGAAAGAGCCTCTAGTGTGATTCACTATGCACCATCTCCTGCCTTCGGTGGATGACCAACGAGAATTAGGGACCTGAAATCACAAAAAAACTCAGAGAGTCTCCTCATGCTATCCTTAGAGCAAAGCAGAAATATGAACCCCTCATTAATCAATGGCTAGAAGCTTATGTGTAATTCTTTTGCTTTTCTTTGTTTCTTTCTTCGTTTCGTGAACTTTTGTAGGACCTCTTTTATGTGTTTGAATAAAATCCCTAAAAAATCACAATAAAAGTCCCAAGAGCTGAAAAAGGAAAGGCAACCCAAAACGTTATAACTGAAGAGACAATACCATACACGAGAAGTTTGTTGACTTGTGACTGTCTCACCTAATCTTTGCTGGATGGACTGGTGTTGCTACGAGGTCATTCTTTTCTTGAGTCCTCAAACTTAGGCACCAAGTCATCCTTGTCGAGAATTCCCTTATTATCTTTGCTGGATGCACCGGTGTTGGGCTCATTATTTATGGTTTTTGAACGATGTGTAAGCATAGGATGAAGCAGAGTCCTGCAAGGAAAACCAGCATATCATCACATCGTGCTGTGACAGAAACAAGGTGATTGTTGATTAAGCAAATGAAGGGCAGAACAAGAATTGAGAATGGTGGCTCCTCTTGTAACACAGAAGCACATGACAATCATTCATATCTACAAGCAAACTGAAAAAAAAAGCAATCCAGTTTGCACTGTGAATGAAGTCATAAGTCGAGGTGCATAAGTTGTTTTTTAACTAACCTGCAGATCCATGTGTGTGTGTGTGAAAGGCATGCAGATGGTGCGATTCAGCTTCCGCCTCAGAAACTGTAGAGTCCTGTAGTCTTGAACGATAGGCTTCGGAGAGATGTGAGGGAGCTGAAATTATAAATCGTAAATTCAGTCTACATAAATCACAATTCAATTTGCATAGTCAATGGAATCACAAATCGAGGAGCATAAGGGTATTTTGTTTTTTTTTTAATTTGGAACTAACCTGCAGATCGATGTACACCGAAGATTTGAGCGTGGTGTGAAAGGCATGCAGAAGCAGAGGTTCAGCTTTCCGCATGCCTTAATTTCTGGCATGGACATCTATATCTGGCCTCGTTCCCCTTAATTTCTGGCATTCCTCATAAATCTCGGGACTGCAATGAACTATGCGTATCAGTCGCAGTGAATCAGGGAGGCCCTCCTTGGGCAGCGATCTGATGTTTTGAGTCCCCGAGATACGTAATTCCTGGAGAGAAGGAAGCCGATGCAACCCTTCGGGGAGGGACCGCAGAGCCCTGCAGTTGCTGAAGCACAGGGCTTGGAGAGACGTGAGGAGCCGAAGCGCCTCGTCCTGCTCTTCCGTGAAGTTCTCCGTCCGCCAATCACAAACGAAGTATAACCTCTGGAGGGTAGCGGAGAGGCGGCTGCAGATGGGAGCAATAAGCACTGCAGAGATGCTGTCCACCTGAAGGCTCACCAGTTGGAAGGAACCGGCGGGTATTGTTTGGGTCCTTGCCACCGCTGCAAGTAGATCTGCTGCTACAGAATAGGGCTCAGCCCCATCATGTCTCAGATTGGACACCTCCAGATGCTCGAGGTTGGATGTGGTGAGGGGATCGAACCCATCCGCTGTGATATCCTTGCAATTACCTAGTTTTAGACTGGTAAGAGATGTGAGATTCGCAAGCAGAGCCATCGGCAGCGTGCTTTGCTCACCCACAAGACAGAGTTCCTTGAGGGAAGGGGGGAGAGGGTAGATGATGCTCTGAGTCTGAGTTCCACCTCCTCCCATGGGCCACCGAGAGAATAGCTTGTTACAGTTTATTATGGCCACGGACTCGAGCGACGAGATGCCACAGAACCCAACTCCTTCCTCTTCATCCACAGGCAGGATCACATTCTTACACCCAACGAAGCTGACATTTCTCAGCGAGCTGGAGGGTGGAAACTGCAGTACCACCTCCTCATGATCCTCGTCTGATGATGCGTAGACAACCAAACTAGAAAGAGCTGGGAAACATTCGAACAAATTTGACAAGGATTTTCTGGTAAGAGAAAATTGGCTGAGTTTGAGAGTTTGGACTGTGTGGAGCACAACACCATCATCCAGTCCTCTCAAAAAGGTTTCCTCACATCTACTGACCTCTATATGTCTTAAGGAATGTAGCTTTTGAAGATCCATAAATGAGAAGCATGATGCATCATGAATTGTCAACCTTTCTACCTCACCAAGATTGTGGAAAACCAATTCAGAGGGCTTCCAAATGTCCAAGTCAGTATGATAATAACACAAGCGGTCTATATAAATACAGGATACCATCGAAGTGTGAGGCAAGGGAGGAAGGCACAACTTCGGGCATCTACGAATCTGAAGATCACGAAGGCTAGGGAACCATTTAGTGTTGCCTTCTGTAGAAGAAATAGGCCAACCTGAGATCAGCAGCGTTGTGAGCATAGGACAATCAGTGCAGCTGATTTTTTCAAGCCCTGAGAACAGATGACAGTTAGCTCCCCCAACCCACTCTACAAGGTCTGGCATATCATAAAACTGAACTTCCATCAAGTGCGTGAAACTTTTTTCTGTAGTACCACCAAAGAAATCAGGACCAATCTGAGATATCCCAAGAATGTTTTTCAGCTTCAGCTTTCTTAAGTGATACATCTGCCCAATAGGTGGAAGGTTGGGCCATGATACGCTCTCTAGATGTAGGGTCTCCAAGTTTCTCATGTATATGATGTTGCTGCACAACCAACTAGGACCAACAGAGCCACCATGATTTACAATGCAAAGTCTTCTAATATTATAGTGTGGCTTGAGACTATCTAGGATATCATCTCCAGCCTTTTCTAAAAAAAGGATATCATCTCCAATGGACTCTTGGTTCCTATTCCAAACTAATCCCAATTTCACTAAATTCCTCTTTTCCATCAGTTTGGCCTCTTCAGCTTCTTGTCTGGTTGTTACATTTTCAAGTCCATGTATATTGAGCTCTCCTCCAAGGTCTTCTAGTTTCCCCAACTCTCCTAGCTCAAAGCCAATGCTCTCTTTCTTAACATGGAATTCTTTCATTTCTTGTAAAAATTTCATTTTCCCCACCTCAGGAACATTGGAATGAAATTCTCTCGTAGCAACAAAATGGCGTAGATTTTCAAGGCGGCTAATGTCTTTAGGCAAAGAATAACTACTTTTCCATTGGTTAAGATCTAGGAATTTCAAGTGATAAAACCTAGACACTGTGCTAGGCACACACACTTCTGCCTAAAAAGGCGACATAAGTTTTAAGTATCGAAGATGGACAAGCTTTGAAAAGTTGTTTGGCAAGGAACTACGGGAGTTCGCGAATATAGATAAAACACGGAGACCTTTTATTTCATTAAATGTGTCTCTTAAAACATTGACCAGGTGTAACCTATTGTATTCTCCAAAAATCATCAAACTTTGCAAATTTTTAATGTCTATCCTTTCCTTCAATTTACCCATCTCTTCCCCGAAACTTTGAACATGAATATCATCATGCAAGAAAATGGATAGGTAACGTATAGATTGTGGGATTTCATTTGCCTCAAAAGTAGAACAACTGATATAGGCACATTCTTCTAATGAAACTTTACGTGAAAGATCATGGAGTAAATCATGCATTACATAATTATTATCATCTCCTTTTATAAGAAAACCATTATCTAATAGTTCATCCAGATAATCTGATCCTATGTCCTCAAATTTTTTATTCTGCTTAGGGTAATCTATGATGCCTATAGAATCCCAAAAACGAATAATCTCAAGCTTTCCAAATTTATAATCGTCAGGGAAAAGGGAAAAACACGAAAAACATTTTTTCAGATGGAAGGGAAGGTAGTCATAGCTAATTTTCAAGGCTGGGATAATATCATTTTCATGGTTTTCTTCTAGCCACTCTTTGTTGTCAAGAATTTTCATCCAATGTTCCTGAAAGGGTTTCTTAATCAATAACCGACCAACTGTTTTGGCTGCAAGTGGGGAGCATTTCAGCTTATCTGCTATTTTCCTTGCAATACCAATTAACTCTTGATCACCATGCTCATCTTGGATTCTACCAAATGCACATATTTGGAAGAATTTCCAAAACTCATCAGGATCCAAACCACGGAGGTCAATTGGATTAGATTCTTTTGTCACCATTTCTACAATTTTTGGGAACCGAGTTGTGACAAGAATCATGCTGCCACTGGTCTCGTCCTTTTTGAATGGAGCTAACAGTTTTGCCCACTCATCACTACTGCTGCATTCCCATATGTCATCCAAGACAAGTAGAAACCTTTTGGATTTCAGCCTCTCTGCGATGGATTTCTGAAGCTGGTCTAAGTTGGTAGTTTCATTTGGTGTTCTATTTCCTGCATTTTCTGTTGCAGGTAGGCAGCTCAGGATCTCTTTGGTGAGCTTGAGCACATCAAAATTAGTCGATACACATATCCAGATATTAATATCAGGAAAACATTGTTTAATCCTTGTGTCATTGACGAGGTGCTGGGTGAAGGTAGTCTTTCCAATACCCCCTGGGCCAACTATAGGAAGAACAGACAAGGTTTTACCACTCTGTGTCACACTGATAATCTCCTCTATAGTTTTCTCAAAGATGGCATCCCTCCCAAACAACTTCTCCTGTGTGATTTCAGAGCTTGTGTCAGGCCTTTTAGCGAAGGCAGGCATGTGTTGCTGAGGGTTAGTGCCTGACACTATCTTGAGCAAGTCAGAGACAGGAGTACAGTTAGAGTGCAGCTCCTCTATGAGCTGCTTGATTTTGTTGGACATTGCCACCCTGTCAAATGGCAACTTTCCATCATGGCCACTGTGGTCAACAGACATGGCAATGGCATTGCTTGTGCTATGGGTGTTATGGACATCGTCGGCAGCAGCAACATCCTCATCTTGCGAACGGCAATAAGAGAAGCATGAGAGCCAGTTACCAGAAGTGTGGCGAGCAGCATGGCAGGCATGCTGAGCTTTGCCGCTGAGGCCATCTCCCAACTCTGGAGTGGCCTCTCGAGTCCCATCGAGCTTGTCCTGGATCATGAAGTAGTGGAGCTCGTCCAGAGCGTCCTCAGCCTCGTCGGCCTTGTTGCTCAGGTCCTCGAGCAGACCCTTCAGGCCAGAGTTCCCAGCGAAGTCCCTCCCCTGGGCCGCCTCCAGCAGCCCTTTAGTGTACAGCATCTCCTTTCTGATCTTCACAAGGTTGAGGCCGAGCTCGGTGCTGAACACGTACGCTTTCAGCAAGTCATCGGACAGCTTGTTGAGGACTTGGCCGAGGAGCCAATTCGCCACTCCGAGAGCCACCTCCATCTTCTCCTCCGGCTGCAGGGGTCATTGGTTTGAGTGGTGAGCACCAGTAAGAACAGTGTGCTTGAAAGGCTACATGGATTTTGTCCAAAAAAGAAGAAGAAGAAGAAGAAGGTGCGAGTGAAACGTTTGGTACCACTTCTTCTCGCTCCTGCTCGACGGCGCGCACGTCCTCCAGGCGACGCGAAGGAGGCCCTCGCCACCGTGGGTCTACCCTCCCTCGCTCCGCCTTCCTTCCTTCGCCGTAGCCGCTGATCTGCCCGACGCGCCCCGAGCTGACCAAATATTCGGCCTGATCTGCCCCTCCCTCCTGCCGCTGAGTCAAGGGATGGTCCTCGTGCGCCCCTCGTCGACGAGCCGCTGCTCTTCCAGCCGCGGAGCCTCCGGCGAGCAGGCCCAAGCGCCCCGCGCTGTGGAGCAGCAAGACGGGCGGCGTAGAAGAGCTCTGATGTGCGCCGGGAACAGCGGCAGCAGAGGAACGGTGGGTGGTGACTAGTGTCTGGTGAGTAGGCGAAGAACAGTGTGCTGCCTGGAAAGGGAAGGCGTGGTGATCTGATCCGATTCCTTTATAGCTGCTCAGGTCATTATTGATTGATGGCGTGGTGATCTGATCCGTTTTCACAGGCACGTGTCCTCGCTCGTCTCGTCTCGGAGCGATGGGCATCCACCGCGAGTGTAGGCCCGTTTAGATGGAGACCTCGCTGTGGAATGTGGAGTGTGGAGTCAAGGATGTCGGTGTCACGGAGTATCCTACTCATTATTCACATGCCTCCGTGGTTGGTGGCCCCGGCGCTAAATAGCTACTTGTGAAGGATGGTGACAATGCACGCATGTTAACATGCCGTCTCCACCGGGCACAATAATGCTCTGTGTAGAGTACGTACCATCAATCTTTGCATCAGAAGGAACACTTAAGTGACACCAATAACGGCTCGTAAGATTATAAAAAAAATGTAAAGTGGCAGCTGAATTGAATAGATGTACTAGCGAGACCTTTGCTACGTCCTTTGCTCAACTAATACCTACTGTAGAAGGATGAAAATGTAAAGTGAGCACGGTTTCTCTTTTTCCAGGAAATAAAAAGAAAAGGAAAAAGAAAACCTTAACAGACGATGAGCACGTGGTGGGATGCAGCTGGTCTCACCCGCAAGAGTGGCTATTCCTTTACCATCGCGTGGTCTCACTCAAAAATGGGGATCCTTTGAATTCCGTTCATAGACCAGTGGTTATATCCACGGAAAGACTCACTACACCACAGCCTAAATATAGCGTCACACGGTGGGTCGTTATAAGCTATTTCAACGACTTACGGTCCGACGTTATAAACTTATAGCGTCAGATATATTAGCCGTTGATACTGGCGACGCTAAAAATCTATAACGTCGGACCGAATTGTAACGTCGAACCGTCTGACTTTATATAAAAGATATAACGTCGAGCTATCTGACGTCTTTTCTAAACTTATAACGTCGCACTGTCTGATGATATAGGTTTATAGCGACCCACTGTCCCTCACTATGCATACAAGTAAACAACACATAATATCTGTACTGTTTAGCTGTTAACCATATAATCAACACTGCCATGTCATACATTCAAACAATACAGTCAAGAACACATAAACTGGACCAAGATAGAGCTCACAAGTTATATTAAAGTCATCATGATGTGTCATGCCATTTTACACATAATTCATGGCATACAAAAGCTAAGATGAAATAAGTTTGGCAAAATGCCAGACTAGGCAACCCATGTCTCATAGTTTGCTTCCACTCTTTACAAAATGATCCACCTCTAGTAAGGCCAAACAAAAGTTATCATCTATAGCTAAAATGTCCAAAACACGTCGTCATGAGCACTTTGATCCAATCATTGGTCTGCAGTCCACTTCCAATTATTTCCTCCACCACCAATAAATAAAAGTTGAAATTCATAAAAAAAAAGGCACAACATAAAACTTCATAAGATACTTTGATTTGTCGTCCTAGATCGAGTTAATAACTTTACTCGGTTTCCATTAACACAATCAAGATGCTTGCCAAGCTTTACGACTAGCTTAAAAAATGTATTTTGGGCAAAGGTTAAGATTGCTAGATCACTAGAAAGACAAGTCAAGGCAATGCAACAAGTTCAATTAAAAGTGCTTAAAGAATATGGAACAAGCTAAAAAGGCTACATAAAGTATACAATACACTAATCACTAGGATCAATACTAACTTCATATCTCTTGTTAGTTACGAGAACCTATAAACCCAATATGTTGCCTTATAACTATGGTCCTTCCGACTTTCTTGTTGGGTTTAAAATTTTGGCACGTCAATGAATATATTCTAAACATTTGAAAATCAAAGACACTCACAATATACTTGGGAATAGTGCACAAGTAAATTTTTCACATCTAAGAAAATATGTAAGTTCTTCACTCTTCAATTACACTAACACAGTCCTAAAATTTTAAAATGTTGGCTAAGTTAGAGCTTTACTGAGACTGCTCCATGGGATGATTTCTTAGACTTGCAGACCTTGAGTCATTAGAAATATCAATGATTAGAAAATCTGGGCACTCATTACATATGAAAAAAAAACAAACAATGACAAGTTGTGTTTGTTACCCTTTTATATGGCCAAGCAATTGCCATGTCCTTAGCATCGACCATCTCTTCCACACCAGATATGGGCGAGGTAGCTTTGCATCCCTTTTCATCACACATCTCGATAACAACTAGACGGTGCTTCTTTCCAAGAGCTTGTCATGCGTAACGCAGATGATTAATCAAATAATTGTTCCCTTGGCCACGTGTTCATCTCTCTGAGTGCATAGAGTATAATTTCATTGCCGATCTGAAGCAAACAATGTATTTATGAGAATTGTATACATTAAAAATCACAATTGGACTAGAAGAAAAAAAAAATTGAAAAGCGATGAGAACATTACAAGGTCGCTCATGTGAGATGTGATTTGCATCACCATTCCTTGATGGGCTTGCACCGTCGAGGCTACACTGAGGGGACCGAACAGTAGGGGTCTCAGTAGGAATGGGGCTAGATCGAGGGGGGTGAACAACTGTGGTTTGTAGGAATGGGGCTAGAGTGATGGTGCTTTGCATAAATGAGGTCATGGGAGATGTGTTGGGCTGCATAACCGGGAGCTTTCTTTGGACCGGTGGGGCTTTGTTGGATTTGGTGGGGCTAAGTTAGTCCTACGCACAAGCATGTATTCATACTCATTAGAGTTATTTGCATAGGCACCATCTTCATGAAATTCAACAACTTGATTTGTCTCTGGATCTTGGGCTCTATAAACATAAAAGTGGGAAGTTAGAGACATTCTGGAACAACACATGAACTTAGGGTGCAAATATTTATGAGTAATGCATATATATTCTCAAGTGCTTAGAGACAAGTGACTTGGTAACATATTAATGTTCTCATGAGAATGCATCTTCTATGTAAATCAGATGAAGCAAGGCTAATACCAATATGAGCCAATTATCTAGCCATAGAATCAAGGACCCGATAATTGAAATTAGAGAATGTACAAATAATTTACCTCATGGTGACGTGAGTTAGAGCCATTTTGGGAGACATTTTCCATACTTGACCTTTCACGTGCCAACCTTTCATGCGCCAATTCAAATTCTAATTTCGCTGTGCGTTGTTCTAGAGCTGTTTGGTGACTTTCTAGAGCTGCTATATGACTTTCTTTCCTTTTACACTCTCGATCTTGCATTTGAAGCCTCGTTGGAGTGTAACCCTTGACCCCTGGTGTACCAACAGTTTGGGGAGTTGGTCCTAGGCCCAAAACCCAAACACGTCCTTTCGGTTCCTTTTTTCCACAAGCAGCAGCAAATGCATCACCTTCTTGGATGGATTTTTCGGTCAATTCAGGCTGGGCTTCAATAACCGATTTAAGTTTATTCTACACAAATAGGATATCATTGTAAATATGCCAAAACTAATATTTTAAAAAGTGATACTTGTTCAATGAAAAACTTACAATAATTGGTTCTGCGTTCCTTGATGGAATTCTATTTTTTCTGGTATGTGTTTTGATATAGAGTTCGTCCCTTCGAGGAGTGCGCCCTAGTTCATTAGCCTACAAGTGTTTCACTTTTTAGTACTTAATGCAAAGACGTTACGTATTGAAAAAAATCATTTGACATACCAAATCATGCTCATTACAAGCAAAGCTCTTGCTACCAGTTGTATGATGTATGGACAGACTTTGCACAGGTTGGCTTTGGCAATTTCAGTTTGAGCCTATGATAGATATGGCTATATCGGAAAGATCAATGCAAGCACAAAGCAACAAAGATGGTCAGTAACCAACCAAAGCAAAACTAGGAGTAGTACTCACTTCGCATTCTTGGGTTGACCAATGGTTTTTGAGAAAGTTCCAATCATCATCATTCAATCTTTTACCTTGTTTTGTCCTTAAATTTTCCTCTGTTATTTCACCTTTAAAAAGCTGTCTCTTCAGTTTGCTTTAAAATCCTTCCATTTCTTTCCAAAGACATCCAAAACCCAATCATAGGCTTTATCATCAATATCAAAGTATTCCTAGTGTGAAGAGAAAGTAGCAAATGAGTACTTATCATGAAGTGAGAAAATAATGAAGGCCTACAAATAAAACTAGAGCAGCTACCTTCATGTCTAACCATCTTGCATCCTTTAAGTCCTCATCAACAAGCCTCCAATCAAACGACAGTAATTGATATTTTTGTCTCACATGTACCCCAACAACACCGAAAACCTCCTAGCATTCTCACCAACAGTCAACCATATTCATTGACCATAACTTTGATTTTAGGCATCTCAGGTTTCCTTGCAAAGACTACATCCAATCTCATCGATACCTCTTCCATTCCTCTTCTCTTGTGTATTACATTTGAAAATCTGCTATAAATAAATGGAGAAATTAGAAGCGGGCATAACAAAAATCTACTATAAATAACTTGAGAAAATCTACTAGGATATACAAGACCTTCATTATCACATAAGAAATCTCCAATCGATTCAAATTCCCAATCATCTTCTTCACTACATCTTCTTCAACTACATCTTCTTCACCTTGCCCATTCACATTCATTGCATGGTTTGTTTGTGGCCTTGGCATGATTATGAATCTGGTTGCTTGAACACTTGTGTTATGAGTTCTCTAAAAGAAGTAGTAGAACAATATCAGCAATATTAAATGAGCAAAGTCACTTTGTAGTAGAACAATTTATACAAGAGATGACCTTTGCTCTTTTCCTAGGTTCATTACACGTCATCTCTTGCGCCATATATGAACGAGACCAAGTGATGCCATCATCTCTTCGTTCTCTCAACATTTTCATCCCTCTCCAGCTCATACAAGGTCTTGCCCCCATTGCTATTGTTTCCTCTTGCGCTTTCCATTTGTTTTCCTAAAACAAAGAACCCAAATATGAGCAAATGGCGAAAGGGTTCAATAAAACAATCAATAACAAATATATGCAAAGAGCATCACTTAAACAACACTTACTTTGTAGACTTTTTTTAGGCTTTTTCTTTTGGGGAACAACAAGTGTTCCTTCTATATCGATTCTAAAAGAAGGACTACCCCATTTACAATATCCACTGTCACATTTGCACTTAGATCATGCAATGGCCATGCTACTCCATTGCCATTATCCATGTGCT